AGTAAACTCTGTGCTATTATTTTTAATTGTTCCATTATTTATCATGTGTTAATATTTTACACTGTCCCTACACCTAGAGTGATTTTTCTGCCTTTCTTTTGCCCAGGGCTACCACATATTTTTCAGGGCTTACATGCATTCAATGTCAATAGTCCAGAACATAAAATACACATGTGTTTAACAAGAGTTGAAAGGGACTTTGGAGGTCTTCTAGTCCAACTCCCAGCTCAGGCAAGAAAACTGAGGGTGCCAAACTCTGAATAGAGATCCTGGGTTAAGGTGTCAGAATAACAGAATAACACTTAGAAGGGACCTTGGGGTTGAACCCTATACCATCTCAGAGAAATGGCTGTCCAGTCTTTTCTTAAAAACTTCCAGTAATTGAGCACCCAGAACTTCTGGAGACAAGCAGTTCCACTGGTTAATTGTTCTCACTGTCAGGAAGTTTCTCCTTAGTGTTAGGTTGCTTCTCTCTGTTCAGTTTCCATCCATTGCTTCTTGTTTGCATTCTGCTTCTTTGGAAAATACATTGTTCCCCTTTCTTTGTGGCAGCCCCTTAAAAGCCTGTTGCCTATCACACTCTTGGGTAAAGCATGTGAGCCATTTCCTCCTTTCAGTGGTCCATGAAAGTACATCTATAGTATGCAGATAATAAAGTCAAAAAAGGTGAACTACATTTTTACAGAACTATAGATAAGTTGAGACTGGATGTGACAAGGAATGGCTGGGAGGGGAGGGGCCAGGTGAGGCACCCCTTGATGTGAGTGACATTGAGTTGGCCACGGCCACCCAGTCACATGACCACTAAGAACACCTACTCAGTCACATGACCACCAAGCATACCCACCATATAAGCCACGCCCACAGAACTGGTAGTAAAAAAAATTGAATCCCGCCACTGCTTTACACCAATGATTGCATCACAAATGATCCATCTGTTAAACTTCTGAAGTTTGCAAATGATACAACAGTGATTGGTCTGATTCCAGATAACAATGAATCTGCATACAGATGGGAGGTTGAACAACTAGCCTCATGATGCAACCAGAACAATCTTGAACTAAACACTCTCAAAACCGTAGAAATGGTGGTAGATTTTAGGAGAAATCCTCCTATACTGCTCAGACTTTCAGGTTGCTGTTAATTTATGTGAGCACTTAGACCTCAGACTCCGCAGTACAATTGATAGATATGTTTAATTTTATCTAGAGGACCACACTGATTTCATCTACAGGACCAAGGGCACAATGGACCATTGTGGATGTGAAAGCTTTGACTGAATATATGAAATCTGATCAAGCTCTGAGTATAATATAGACAGTTACCTCTCTTTACACCTATGTCATTTTTTACAGACTATTTTCATTTACAGATGATGAAAAATTCTTCACTAAAAAGGCCCTTCCTAAAAGGTGTCAGATAAAAGACCCTTATTGATTTGATTCAGAGTTTCACTTCTTGAGAAAGAGATTATGGATAGCTACTATATGTTTTCAGTATGAAACTATCTAGCAAGTAATAATCATGTTGCCATGTTAGCAATCAGACAAGTATACGAGAAACCACCAAGTTGATTATCAAACCATTTTGGCTAAATGTACAATTAGCAGCCAAAAACCCAAATCCAGCCTTTTTCTGGCATTTAATTGTAGGATTATTGTGGGAATATAGGTTTTGCTTGGATAACTTCTTGGAGAAATATTACAGCTTATTCTCCAAGTTGGAATTGGACTATATGATCCATAAAATGATCTATAGGAAGCCCCTAGTTCCACTCCACCATGGCCTCCAATGATTGCATTGGTAGACTACTGGACTCATTCAGATATTGAATCCCAACAAAGTTCCTGGGAAGATAAGAGAGCAGGCATGGGCAGCTCTATGCTGCGGTTACCCTTTTAAGCCCTCTCCCCATCCAATACAGCATTGGCTATAAAAGCAATGCTGAGAGACAGTTTGGGCAGGGGTGGGCTTCAAAAATTTTAGCAAGGGGTTTTCTGCTCAGTTGCAGGGTGGGTGTGGCCATGGTTGGCCTGGCCTAGTCGGCCTCCTGCACCATGGCAGGAAGTGGGGTTTGCACTCTCCGGGCTCCAGAGGCTTTCCTCGAGCCTCCGAGGGGACACCTCCTCGGGCTCCAGAGGCTCTCTCAAAGCCAGAAACTTCCAGGAAGCCCATTTTTCGTCCTCCATGAGCCTCCATGCATGCCCTGCACTTACCTGCATCCAAAACAGGCTGCATGAGGACTCCTGGGAGGGGAAGGGGGGGGGGGGCCAGCCAGGAATGAGATTTGAGGGTTCTCCAAACTGTGCAGAATCTTAGCTAGGGGCTCTCCCAAACCCCTGGGAACCCCCAGCAGCCAACTCCTGAGTTTGCGGTGTTGGTATATGGCAGAAAGAGAAGAAAGAAGGTGTTCATGTGTGAAAATAAAGCAGCCTAAAGGAGTTAGAAAGGCTGCTCTTCTCCAATAGTACAGTCTACAAGGAATAGTAATTGGAGGACCAGTAATAGAAGGTCTAACTGCAATGAGAAAAAATGAAGAAGTGGTAAGTAGTGAATACCAGCTTGTGGGTATGTTGCCTAAGAGGCTTTGTGATGCTTTTATTTTGGAGACCATTGACTTGGTTATACTTAAAAGAATTCACAGAAATCTTTTAACCCCCCCCAACAATTATTTAAATGCCTTATTTGCAGGTTTATTTATTCATAGTAATAATTCTTGACAAATTCCAGCTGATTGGGACTTCCATTTATAAAAAGGGTGATAAGCAAGAGTGAGATTCAAATTTTTTAACAACCAGTTCTGTGGGCGTGGCTTGGTGGTCATGAGACTGGATGAGGCACCCAAATAACGCAGATGTCTCCTGCTGGAGACGGGGTTGGACTAGATGACCGCTTCCCTGGATTGCTGTGCTCTTTCAAAGCATTATTTGAAGCTGCGTCTAGTGCCAGGGTTTGTGGTCCTTCCTTCCTCTTCTTTTTTTCTTCCTCCCTCCCTCCCTCCATCTCATTCACTTTCCCTTCCTTCTTTCTCCCTTCCCTCCCTCCCTCCTTTCTTTCTTTTTTCTTTCTCCTTCTCTTTCTTTCTCCCTTCCCTCCCTTTCCTTCTTTCTCCGTTCCCTCCCTTGAAGGCTTACTTTCTATCTTGAAGGCCTCCCTGGAGCCTCCTGGCAGCCAAATTGGGGCATGGGGGGCAGTACTGGACACCCCCCTGTGCTCCATTTGGGCCTAGAAAGACCCCCTGGAGCCTCCTAGCAGCCAAAACAGGCTGCGGGGGGGTAGCACCAGACCCCCCCATACCCCATTTTTGCTCCCAGGAGGCTTCCCTACACTTACCTGGGAGCCAGACTGACCTTGTGGGGACTCTTTGGTGGGGCGGGGCGGGGCGGACGGGGCTAGCTGGTCATTGGAACTACCAGTTCACTGAACTGGATGTAAAATTAACATCTGGTTCGCCCGAACAAGCTGAATCCCACCCTGGTAATAAGATTCCTCAAAAAAGGGAATGACTGAGTGGGAGAAAGTAATTGAGAAGCCCCTAAATGATCACCAGTGCTAGACTATACTAAGAAGCTGGGAGAGAAGAAATCCTAGGAGAAGGGGCAGGCTATTCAATGGAACCAATATTGCTGCTTAGTAAACTATCTTGAGAGAATCTTTACTTATTTTACTGAAGGAAGAAATAAATTAAGTTTTATATTTGAGAAGCAATTTATTTCAGACACACATTGCCATCCCTTTTCCAACTGAATTCAAATAGATAAAAGCAAGAAAAAGAAAGAATGATTTGTCACACTGTTTTTGATGTTCCAAAGCATTTCCTTCCCTATTAATAATTCTGGAACAACATGGAGTTGAATGGAAAATATCTCGCATCATGTGTAGTATCTCCATATTATCAGTGCCATGAAAACCAGTAGAAATCATGACAAATCAAGCCAGTATATCTGGCAACAGATTTCAAGAGCAAGTCCAGTTGGGCTGGGAATGGTTTTTTTTTGTAGACTGAAGAATAGAGTAATTATTAAATGAAAGAGATAGAAGTCTGGAAAGGTTTCCTCTAAGGTCTAAGATGAAATTATACTGTATATGCACATTTTTCATTCTTAATAATAAAGTACCATTAAATCTAACCTAGTAATTTGGTCCTTTTCCAAAATAGCAGTGTCCTTGCTTTATTATTTTTTGCTTTGTTGTTGTTGTTTCTTATAGTATACTTGGCATAGCCTATATGTATTTCTAATATCGTTCAACTTACATTCCTGAACTTTAGAGATACCATATGCAAATCCTTAAAAGTTACTTCAGGAATAATGCAATAACTGTGTATAGAAGAATACACAAAGGTACCCTGGGTTCTTGCTACGTGGGACCAAAAGTACCTACCCAGGGGTAGTATTCTACTGGTTCGGACCGGTTTGAGCAAACCCCTTGCGCTCCAGAGATTAGCTTTCTCTGAACCAGTTCACTGTGACGAGCATGTGAGCCTGCCCACCCGCCCCACTCTTTCCTGTCCTTTACTTCCTTTGTTTAGAGCACAGCTGATTTGTATGGCAGAGTGGTTTGCCACACCTCAGCTGTTTTCTTCACTTGTAATGCAAAGCACGCAATCACCAAACCAGTTGTTATATCAGTGGAATCCCACCCCTGTACCTACTTCTTCAAACTGCAATAAAGGAACAAATAATAAAGAATATGACAGTGCTAATAATCCATTAGTCTCTGTAAGAAGAGAATAATTACACAGCCTTGTTTATTTTATAAAGATCATAAATTTCAGTTAAAAAAGAAACCCAAATCACTTGATATTTAGACATGTGAGTAACTGAACCTGACTTCACGTGTTCATAAATTTAAAAATCTCTGCTGATCAACACAATAAATGAACATTAGTCGAATTATGCTGAAAAATTGAATAGTTACATCACTAAATTTTGATTTGATTTGCAAGCCCAGCTCTATCAATGTTCCCTAAATTAGTGAGGAAGAATGATGATACTTACATTCTGCAAAGCAAGAGCTAGCATCAATTTTCCAGATAATCTGGCCTTGGTGAGAGCCATTTACTCCACGATTTTTGTAGTCCAAGAAGTTTTCTGATAGAACCTCGTCTGGTAAATAAGTAAAAAAAAACTCTGATTATTTCACAGCAAAAGGAGGAATCAAACGCAAATTGCTTTTATGATTGTAAGGCATCCAGAGTTACCCTGAGGTAAGACTGGTGGCAATAAATTGTATAAATAAATGAATAAATGAAACCTACTACTATCTTTTGATTAAAGTAGAATTAGCATGAATCCTAAGGCAAATGAACTTAACAAAGAAGAAAACTTCTTCACGAATACACATTTTCTTTATCACAAAGGATTCTAGTATGCAAACTATTTCTTTTATATTTTAATAGTAATTTCATTATTACTAAATACTAAATATTAGTAAAATAATTGCAATTGTAATTCTTAGTAGCAAACTAAAATAAAAATAAAGAAAAACAAGAATGTAGAAAAGAAGCAATCCTCAACTTTTGACCACAACTAAGCCCAGAATATCAATTATTGAGTGAAGCAGTCATTAAGCATGACAAAAGGGAGCTGAAATTTGCTCAAAACCATATGACTGGTTTGCTCAATTACCACAATTCTGTCATTATCATTTTCAATCATTAAGTGATCTTGCTGGTTGGTAAGTGGAGTCTCAGGTAAGCAGAGTGGGTTGCCTGGGGAGGGGGAGAGCCTGGAAGGTTCTGATCAGAGCTAAAAATTCTCTCCGCTTAAATCAGAGCAGGATTTTCCATCCCTGAGGGAGAGATACTCATGTATGATTTGGGCTGGATCTTCCAGGGCCTCTGCTTCCTGCCTGAAAAACTCTGTGATCCTGACCTAATTGTTTTTCTGCTTGGATTTCATTTCCCTAAATGTCTCTAGGGACTAGCTGTCTGACTAGGAACTTGGTTTATTGTCTTAGGAACTTGATTTATTTTTATTTTTTCTTTGTCCAATCTCACAGAATTCTTCAAAGTTTTGGCAAGCCTCTTTTCTAAATCCAATATAAGAAAATTATGCAAGTCATCCTCTTACTTTTTTATTGGCATATTTCTTTTAATGATTAAGACATTAGTTGCTTTCTTTTTTATGTCCAGTGTAGCATCACTTTCTGCATCAATATTATAGCCTATAGCAATGTCAATTTTGTCATATAAAACTCATATTCTATAACATCTTTTAATACAGTATCTATACAGACAAAACCTCTTAAATTAACTTTTGCATCCATAATTCAAAAATATACTTCAGTATGTCCAATGTTAAAATATTTTGCTTCATTCTATATTACTAAGTCAAATTTAAGTGTTCTTCTTTGATTATAATCCTTAATTTCTTTTAGCGTACAACCTTCAAAGACTCATCCTATTCATGTTTTTTAAGAATACTCAAAAACAAAGCATTGTCTTCAAATAAATTCCAAGATCTTATTTCAAATCTATATGGAGTCCATTTGTAACTTTTCAAAAAAATTCTAATAACCTTTTGCTATTTAACCCTTGATTTTTTTAAAAAGCCCTTAAACTGGTATATAATTTTTTTCACTAAGAATTGAAGAAAATCTGGTGTTTCCTTCCAGACTTGTTGATTCAAAGATTCCTAATAGTTGAAAAGCAGTTAATAAGGAATTTCTAAAACTGATTAGAAAAGAAAATATGACAACCCAATGTTAAAGGCACCATCTGTGTTGAGCAAGATTGCTATTCAACTCTAAATCCAAGAGAAACTGCTGTGTTGAAATTTCCTCATGAGGAGCAACTCTATGGAACACTTGTGGGTAATCTCAAGTCTGCTTTTTATCTGGAGAGAAATTACAAAAGTCAATTCATTTGCCATTTTTTCATTCCATTTTCAATGGAATCATATTTAGTTAATCACTTCTTCTCTGGAAATCTTGAAGCATATCATTCCTCAATGTTCACAAAATTATCTCTATGGCTTTCTTTCTCTGCCTTCTTCTCTCCCTTTTTCAATTGATGTAAACATTTTACTGCCATTCTCTTAAAATAGCACAAGAGTTTATTAATTTCATTCATTTCAAAAAGATAATAAAAATATGTCAGTGTATAAGGATTCATGAACTGGAATAGGCATGGCAACAAGTCAGCCAATGGGAACTGTTTGGTGACTGAGGCAGCTTGGAGCCTGGGCGTGACTTAGCTTAACTTGGACAGCTTCAGAGTTTTGCAAAAGACAGTTTGGGGAAGGATTAATCTTGAAAGGGTGTAAGGCATAGCTCAACTATGCAGTATGTAACTAATCAAAGGCCAAGGCACTCCCAATAAACAAGAGTAGCACAAGGCAAACAACAAGAGCTCTAGAGCCGGTACATGCAAATTTGGTTGGGCCAATACAAGCCAGTTTGGGAACAGCAAAATGCGCTGATCATTGTAGATGACTACAGCATTTTGGTTTTTGCTATTTACTAAAGAGTAAAATAGAGGTGCTATGAAATTTAAGCAATGAGTAAGCTTTATAGAAAGGAGATATAAACAACAGGTTCAGAATTCATGTCAGCAAGTTTTCAACAGTGGTTGGGACAGTTAGGAATAAAACACAGACGCACAAATCCTTACAAAGCAGCTGAGAATGGTATAGCTGAGAGTTGGAATGGAATCTTACAAACAACGAAGGACTCACTGCTGGAGGATTTTGGTCTGAGCAGGTCATATTGGGGTGAAGTCATGTTGACTGCCAATTATTTAATCAATAGGCTATGGAGTTCATCTGTAAATGATACCCCATATGCAGTGTTATATGGGAGAAAGCCATCTTTGGCACATTCAAGGGTGTTTGGAAGTAATGCATGAGTGCATAAAGTATTCCAAAAGCAATCAGAAGAAAAGGTCAACCAAAGGCTAGAAAGCTCAGGTTTACAGGCTATGAGCCAGGCTCAAAGAGCTTTAGTGACAGGAGCAAAATAATAGTTATTTCCAGGTCTGCTAGTTTTGCAGAGGAAAATTGGAACAGAATTGATGCCAATTTTTGGAATGATCTACTTAGTGATGATGATCCACTTCATGACGGTAACTCACTTAGTAATGGTGTCAGTATTCAGGGCAGAGAAACTGAAAAAAAAAACAAGGAAAGGAGTCAGGAGAAGATGATGACTCAGATATGAAGCAAGAGAGGGTTGAAATACAAGAGCAGTCAATGCCACACAGGTCAGAGCGATGAAACAGTGGGATTCCACCTGACAGGTATTCTGCTAGTGAAGTAAAGGTGTGTAATGTGTGGTATGAACCAAGAAACCATCAGGAAGTATTGGCATTACCTAAAATTGAATAAGTGAAGTGCAAAGAAGCCATGAACAAAGAAATGAAATCCATGGGTGAACATATATGACTTTGCAAAGATGTAGGTTGTAAATGGGTATACAAAAAGAAAGTACTACCCAACAATGAGGTCCAATATAAGGCAAGGTTTTTCATAGAGAAAAAAATGTGCACTATGATGATGTATTCACACCTACGGTAAAGAATGAAAGCATAAGGTTGGCACTAGAGTTGGCAGTGGCATGTGACCATAAAATCTGGCATTTTGACATAACCACAGCATTTCGCAATGCAGAATTAGAGGAAGAAATTTACATGGTTCAAGCACCAGGGTATGAAAGTAAAAAGCCTATCATTGTATATAAATTGAACAAGGCCATTTATGGGCTGAAGCAGTCAGTGAGGAATTGGAATATCTGTTTATGCATTGAAGGGTTTTGGATTCAAGAGTTGCAAGGCTGATGGTTGCATATATACTGGAAAGTTACAAGGTGGGATTGTCAATTATTAGCATTTGTGAATGATCTTTGTTTCATTGCAAAAAATGTGTCACAGGTAAAAGAATTTGCTAATCAGAGAGAAGCAATTTGAATTGAAAAATTTGGGTGAAATCCAAAATTATCTTGGTGAAGAAATACAAAAAACTGTAAAAGTGGTTATGTTCTCAGTCAAAGAAGGAAAATTGAAAATTGAGATACAACATGAAGGATTGTAATTCTGCTCCAACACCTGTGAGCACAGATTTTCATAACAATTTGGGGGACGACAAAAGTGAAGCCTGTGATTAAGAGACATATCAGTCAGCAATAGGAAGCTTGTTATAGCTGTCACAGTGATCCAGACCAGATATAGCTCGTGCAATAAGCATCTTAAATTGCTTTACTGCTGAACTAATGCAACTGCATTGGATGGGTGTAAAAAGGATTCTCAGGTATTTGAAGGGAACTCTGAATTTGGGTCTTCAAATACAGGTCTCTGAAGAAATAAAGTTAAAATGTTATGCTCAGTGATTATGCCAATGATGTAAAAACCAGAAAGTCTAATTCTGGGATTGTGGTATTATTTGGAGAGGCTTTAATTGGTTGGAAGTTCAGAAAACAAACAACTGTAGCCATTTCTACTGCGGAGAAAAAAATATTGCTTTATCTGAATTTTGTTCAGAGGTAACTTGGTACATATACCTGTGTGTAAATTTAAATGTAAAAAAAGTAAATGAAGCTGTAATGGTGTTTGAAGATTATTACTAAATTATTAAAAGTAAATGAAGCTGTAATGGTGTTTGAAGATAATGCTGCTTGCATTAAATTGGCAAAAGGTGACAGTAAAAAACAAAAGCAAGCATGTAGATATTAAATATTATAATGTAAGAAAAGACATCAAATTTAAATTAATTAGCTTGCCTCGCTGTTCTTCAGAGGACAATCTGACAGATATAATGACCAAGCCATTAGGTGGAGTGCACCATGGGAAGAATATTAAGTTATTTCATTTTATGTCTATTCCAATCATAAAGGGAGGAGTGTCAGTGTATAAGGATTCATGAACTGGAATAGGCATGACAACAAGTTAGCCAATAGGGACTGTTTGGTGACTGAGACAGCTTGGAGCTGGGTGTGGCTTAGCTTAACTCTTCTGTGTATAAAAGAATTCATTTTGTCTTTGCTTGGGAGTTCTAGTGCTTGTTCGTATACTTCTTCTCTCTTCCACATTGCAAGAGCTGCATGGATATTGTATACATGCATCATGTTTTATATTATTGTATATAAAGAAGTTTCTTCTATATAATGAATCCTG